TATATATTTGCTTTTTTTACTATCTTCTCACCATTGTTTCTGTAAATCTTTCTGACTCCACTATTTCTTTGTATGTATGCAATACCATAATTTCTTAAGCTAGTTTATGTGTGTTTTGGGTTTTTGCAATTTTTTATTAATAATTATTGCCACTAAGAATCACTGTACCTTCAGCCATTTAATACTAGTAGGTAATATGTTTAGAAAAACTTCCCAAAAGATTCCTAGGCTGGGTGAATCTTTAAATACATCATCAAGCTACACTTGAAAACCAGTAAACAAATATACATTCCCCTAACACTGACTCTGGGTACACAGGTGGCTTAGTAGGTAGGTGTTGCACTGCCAACCCAAGGCAGGCACAGTTCGATTCCACCAGTGTACCTGCTCTGCAGGAGAAAATTGCCAACCCTTGTGCAACTTACAGCCTCAGAACACCTGCTGAAGGCTCAGCTATGAGCCAGTTCCTACTGGATAACAATAAACACCACCACCACTACTGTTGGTTTCTTTAGGTTTTTTTAAGTTTTTAATTTTGACAAATCTGACAGGCTATTTTTTTAGAGAAAGTATTGTTTCTTTAATTTGTTTAAAAAAAAAAAAAACTTTGAGGTTACGAATCTTTCCAAAATCGTATCAGTTGTTTTTCCTTTATTCCCTCCTAAAACTGAACATGTACCACTGTTTTGTTAATTTTTTTAATTTGTTTTTATCCTAAGAATTTTAAGATACCTTTTACTATCAGGAAACTTGCAATTAATATGTGTGTCACAACACTTTTTCCCAGGTAATGGCTATTCTACCTAAATAATACATTTTGCCATGTGCAACTTTAAGGTTCTATATAGTCAAATATATTCCTATCTTTTTGGCTGTTGTACATCACTAATAAGTTACTTTCTCTTATTTAAAGCTATCAATACATTGACCATATAAATTATTCCAGTACTATTACAGTTTTACAGACAATGTAGAATTTATTTTAGACTGCAGAGAAAAGTAGAAAAACCAGTTATCTTTTTCTCAGTTGTCTAAGGACATATACTGATAGAAAATATCATCATTATCATCTGCTAAAATTCTCACTTCTACAAGTGTGAATTGTCTCGTCTGTTACTTTGTCTATCACTATCCTACTGTCATGGAGGTTGACTCATCGTGACTTGTCATCAATTTCTGTCTTCATCTCAATGAGAGGAGACTGTTTCACCTTTCTTCTATGAAATAACTAGTGGATTAGAATTGCTGACCTTTTTGTCAATAGCTCAATGCTTAATCAGAATTCCAGAAGAAAAAGTATAATAAAGGAGTCCTGGGATTTTTTTTAATTTTTTTTTTAAACGGTAGCTCTGTTAGACTTTTAGAAAATCTGTTGGGGATTCTATACTATATCCTTTCTTTTAGAATTCTCCTGGCTATTCCAGCACCTATTTTCTAAAGATAATGCAGAATATTTTCTAATTGCCTCATCTCCTTAAATCTTTAGGTGATAATATGTAGAGCAGTACTTAATCTACAGATTCAGAAGAGAACTTAGCATTAAATGTTAAGTCTTATCATGTATTTGTTTAAAAGCAATAGCAGCAACAGTAAGAATAAAGGTAAACACTGTTTTAGTTAACATTTCCTGTGTACTTACTATATGCCAAACTTACTGGATGAGTATTGTAATCATCACAACAGTTTTATGTTGCCAGTACTGATGAAAAACTTAAGGCTCACAAACACTAAACAAATTGGCTATGGTCATGATTAACAAGTGAAGTAACTGAAATTTTAATTGAGGCAATCTGAATTGGGGAAAGCATGGTATAACAATTTTTACGTTTACCTTTCATTTATTGAACTTTACTTCTCAACTGAATTTTCAATTCTTCCTTAAATACCTGTAGGTTATTTAGTTCCAATGTATACTTACTTGCAGTTTTTAATAGGATTTCTTTTTCCTTTAAATTTCTAATGATTTATTGTTTGCATAATATTGACTTTGGAATATTCAATTTGAAAGTGTCACCTTATGAAATTCTTTGACTGTCCCTAAAACAGTTTTGGTTGATATTGAGTTTTCCACATGCACAATCAAAGCCAACTAAATAATTCTATTTTCCTTTATTTCTCTCTTACAATGCTTAGCTTAATTAACCCTGCATGTCTTAATGATGGTATTACTTTTTTAATATGGTAATATATTTTATTCGTAATATTTTCTTTATGATCATTGCCTAAGAGAAACAGTTTTTTTAAAAGGTTTGACACTGGTGATTTGCTAAATTTGCATCTTTCCTTCTTTAAGTATATTTTGGAACTGTTATATATCATATAATGGTATTATCCCTTCATCTGTGAAACTATTTGGGGTTAATGCTTTTTTGACACATGTAAAATTTCTTCTTTCACAGACAGTACCTGTTTAGATTCTAACTCCTCTCAGGTCAATTTTATTAGTTTTTTATTTTCCTAATAAATTATTTTAATTTTTTTTAAATAGTTCTAAATAATTTTCTGTACTTACATATAATCTAGCTGTTTTTGTGTAACTAAAAGGAAGATATCTGAACAAATATATACATCAACATAACTAGAAAACACACAGACAGGTTAAGTTAAACATGAAATCTGGAGCAATGTAATGGTATACAGCTTTATATTCATACCATAAGTTTTAAAAAGAAACCTTTAAATACAGATGTAAGTAGTCAAGTGTTACAAGGAGAAGAGTCCCTATATCATAAATGGCTAATATTTTATTATTAAACCAAAACGTCAGATAGAGGTTTGAACAAATACAGTAGGTACCAGGGAAATGAGACTGAGTAATCTGCTTCCAAAAGAGCTAAAAAACCTCATGGAGCACAGCTCAACTGAGCCATGCAACACTGGGGTTGCCGAAAGTTGAAACTGCCAAGTGATGTAATGGGCTCCTAGGATATAAACTTACAGAATCCCAAATAAGAACAGAATGCTCAAAGAATAAGAAATTAAAACTTTGAAAGGAAACCATTTTTCTACAATGCTTAGTGAAACTTTAATACAAGAAATAAGATACTACAATTAGTCAAGGAGAAAGATGCATTAATGCAACCTTTATGAGAAAATCAATTAAATCATTTTAAAAAAGGACTTTTTGTCCTATACTAAAATACTAATAAATAACCAAGAAAAAAGTTACTTCTTTGTTTTATGAAGTTTTTCTATAAATCTCTTACGCCATACCAAAAATGCATGGGTTAGAGAAAAGGCAGTGTTCTGAGAGGTAAAATAGATTTAAAAATAAAGATCTCAAATTAACAGCCTAACCTTAAAACTCAAGAAACTAGAAAAAGAAGATAAAAACAGCCAAATCTACCAGATAAGAGGAAATAACAAAGACCAGAGCAAGGATAAATGAAATGGAAGACAAAAACAAAAACAATTACATAATAAACAAAATCAGAAGTTTATTTTTTAAGAGATCAGTAATAACAATAAGCTTTTAGCTAGACTAACAAAGAGAGAAATGATGCAAATATCTAAAATTAGAAATGAAATTGGGGATACTAAAACCAATTCTACAGAAATAAGAAAGATCATAAGTGAGTATAAAAATAATTTTATGCCAATAAATTACTTGGAAAAAATAGAGAAATTTCTGGAGCTATGTAACTCAGTTCTTGTAAAAATTAGTGTGCGTGTGTGTGTGTGTGTGCTCGCGTGTGCACACGCGCATGTGTGTGCACACCTTCAAATCAGATCTGACTGGTACAGGAGGAGGTTATTCCTCCTTCCCCAGTAGAACATATGGTGGATTCAAACTGCTCACCTCTGGGATCGCAGTACAGCTTATCTTGTAAACATTCTTATCCATAAACACTGTGCACTTGCACTTAATATTTAATAGGATCTAAAGGAGTTTTTTTGACACAGATCTTAAATGCAAAGCTTGTGACACAGATCTCAAGTGTTAAGTCGCTCATCAAAAGGTAGTTCCATGGGAGAAAGATGTGGTCACCTTCATGTAGATTTACAGCCCTGGAAACTGTATGGGGCAGTTTACTCTGTTCTACAGGATCAACATGAATAAATATCAACTTTATATTAATGAGTTTTTTTTGAAAGCAGTAAAATGAAATACTCTGACATGATACAAACCTACCTGTGCACATGATTCTTCAGGTGTTTTGGCACTAACTGAATAAAGTGCTGGGAGATCTAGTCTGTGCACAGAGAATTTTTCTAGAGTGTGCAAAAGTGCTGGAGCAAGGTGAGAAGTTTGACCTGAGCCTCGTTCTCCAGACAGCAATAACCTTGGCCTGTAAGAGGTTGGCTGGTGGTATGGTGACCTGTAATACATATGAGACATAATTATTTCTAATAACACATTCTGTTTAGCAATATGAGACATAAGGCAAAATATTAATATTCAAAAAACATAAATCTATATGATTTTCTTCTTTTATTTCTAAGTACAATGAAATCTTTCCCTATCAATTATAGTTTTAAAATGCTGAAACTTCTAACCATAAGAATAAGCAAGATAAAGTCTAAAAACTCATTCTAAACAAAACTTAAAACATGAGGGTACACATCCTATCATACAACTTGCATGAATTTAGAAAATTCATCATTTAGTTGTGAAATGTTAAAAATCCTATTTGTTCAACAAATTCTCTTATACAAAGAAAGTTTATGCAAGCAGTGCTTAAGAACAATAACCTTATGGACAAAGAAAATAAGCAGTTACAAAGAATTCAGATGTATGTAACAAAAATTTTCATAAATGCTCATTGAAGAAACACTTATAGACTACTTCCTATGCTGAATACCCTAGATCTACTTTATTATTAATAAATTAATATTAACAATATTAATTTCATCATAGAGTTCTCAATTAATTAGCCTATAGTGAAAAAGAAAATGCACAGATTACTATAATTTGTTGTTACAGGTAGCACAGGACCTAAGCAGTTTTTACTAGGAAGTGTTACTAAAGCAAAATTAAAATATATTGAGGAACAAAAGGTATTAATTAAAAAAGCAAACAATAGGATGTGCAAACAAAACCCCAACAACCTAGCAGTACAAAGATCAAAAGATCATCGACCTTTGAGTTCTATATAGTTTAGGAAGTAAATTTATTTTAAGAATTGGGAAATCTAAAAGGACATACAGAGACTGGAAAGGGTTGGAAAGGAGAATCAGACAAAAAAGGGCCCGGCAACCCATGTTAAAAGTTTAAAATTCATACATAAGACAACAAGGAAACATTAAGAAAGAAGAGTGACACAATTATATACATATTTTGTTCAGACAACTTAGGCTCAGTAAAAGAAAAGGTTTTAATAAGAAATATTAACCAAATTTAGTAACAACTTCCATTAAAATAGGATTATTCACTGGATACAGAAGGGGAAGAAGTTCAAGATGATGTAAGTTTAGCTGTGACATGGATTGTGACAATGTCATTAAAAATAAAAGACAGAGTAAAGAGAACGGGGGATTTGTTAGCAACATGTTGAAAGATCTCTGGTACAGCAAAGGGGAAATCTGTAACTAGACAGCATCTGAAACTCAAGAGTAATTTAAGTGTAAGACAGAGGATTGAAAAGTTGGAAAACAAAGTAATTGATCAAATAAGCAATTTTGGTGGCATAGTCCATAGCATAATGCCCTGCTAAACAAAACATTACTTCAAATGATGAGAAACCTCTTTTACTTGCTAGGTTGATAAATTAAAATTTAATTTTGGGGGAATTGGCATTTTGACAACTATTGGAAGTGGAAAAGTTACAATCTTTTGTGAAATTTATATGGCAGTTCTGAATATGCTTGAAATTGGACAAAGCACATGGTAAGGTGTTTGCTGAACCAAGTCAGACTAGATAAAAATGTGGCATCAGCATTGGAGAAAGACTCAACCAACCAGTAATATGCAGAAAACACAACCTTGCTTGCTGAAAACGACACTGTGAAACACATAGTGATGAAGATCAACAATTACAGCCTTTAATATGTATTACACAATATGAAGAAAATGAAAATCTGCACAACTGGACCGAAAAGTAACATCATAATACATGAATTAAAAACTTGAAATTGTCAATTAATTTCACTCCATTTGAGTTGACTATCAACATCTCTAGAAGTAAAGGTTAAGCATGAGGTTCTTGCATTAGTCAAATCTACTGCAAAAGAGAGGGGGTTTTTTGAGTTTTAAAAAGCAAGAATGTCTCTTTGGTGAATAAGGTGCACCTGATATAAGCAATGAGACAATTCAATTGTCTCAAATGCATGAAAAAGGTGTACAATAAAAGTGGAGGACAAATGAAATGCTGATGCAGTCAAACTGTAGAACGGATGAAGAATAATGAATGTACTGTAGATGGCCAAAGAACCAACAGGTCAATTTCAGGGGGAAAAACAAACAACAACAACACGTGATCCTGAGAAGAAATTTCAGCTTAATTACCTCGACAAGTAAATCACTAGAAAAGATTATCACGTTTGGTAAAATAGCAGAAATGAGGGAAATCTTCAATGAAATGAATAGACAAAATAGATACAACAAAGGATTCCAATATACCAATGGTCTGAAGATGGCACAAGAATGGGAAATATTATTTTTATTTCTTCCCCCTTTTTTGGGTTCTTTGTGAAATAAGTTATGTTATTATATACTGGTTTAGTTAAAATCTCGCATACATTTGTTTCTCACACTGGATCTTTCCCATTTCCTTTACCCATCCTATCCTACACCTACAACACAAGGCAGTAAATTGTGATCCCCAAAGAAGAGGTCTTTTGATCAATTACTGGTTCACAGGGCATGGAATTAAACTGAAGCCAGAGCTGGAATGATAACTTAAAGTCAATCCTGCTTCTTGGAAAACAATGCCACAGCCAACTGATATATGGCATATGCTGTTCTGACAATTCTAAGAAACATGGTGGCTCTATACAGGAGGTCATCAGCTATCCCCTCCCCCCCTTAGATGCACTGGAATTCCATTATCCTCCTGAAAAAAATAGCTTTTGTTTTCTTCTCGAACTTTATTTTCAAACTGTCTGCGTAAAGCAGTACTTAGGTCATCTGGATAATTTGACAAAGAGCCAGCAAATTCTGCAGCATCTTGGCTATATTTTTTGCCCACCAACTGTGACAACTCGCAAAGCTATGATTAACATGCCCCACCCCCACCCATTCTCACGCCTCTGCTCCCATCCTTCCCCTCCTTGGATCTTCACACTCATTCTACAATAATGGACTTATACAGTATTTGTCCTTATGGGACTGAGTTAATTTACTTAGCACAATGCTGTACAGTCTGTCAAAACTGGTCAATATTTTGTTCTATTATACAGAAAGGGGCCACGAGTAATAGCCAACTCAATAACAACTAGAAACAAACAAAAGTACAAAATGTATATACTAAGATATTCTGCAACTGAACTACTCTTAGGATTCCTTTAGTTCTTAAGATTGACTACCCTTCCCCCTCCCTCCTCTAGCATAGTATTTATTCAATCCTTGACGGTATGCTGAGAAAGGCAGAGGGTCAGAAAAAGCAAGGAAAATCCTTGACAAGATTGACACAGTGGGTCCATGTATCACAGACATCATGAAGAAGGCAAGATTAGGATCTATTATCCATCAGGTTGCTAGGAGTCGTAGTCCATTCAATGGCACCAGTGACAGCAGCTTAATTATAACATTTGTTTGTTTCCTTTCACTAAAATTTAGGTTTTAAGACGTCAGGGTTTTAACATATATGAAAATCTTATAAATTAGAGGTGAAAATTTAAATTGGTCCAATATTTCTAGAAGGATATTGCTGAAAAAGAAACCCACCAACAGTAGCCAGGCTAATGTGACTGAAGACATGCACTAAGGTTATGCTTTTTACTTGTGTAGTACCTTTTTTGCATTAGTCTGGCATGCTGAGATGTGTTGCTCAAACAGAAAATGAAAACAAACAAAAATCATGCATAGCCCTTACTAAATAAGGGACTTTCTTCTGATGTGTCTATTTTTGAGGTGTGTGAAAGCCCACACTGGACCAATATAAGGAAGCAATGCAATTCGCTCTACCTGTTAAGGGCAGGAATCAATTTAGAAGTCATATAGGACAAAGGTTGGAAGCAGGAGTGCAGCCACTTCCTAAACAACATGCCTCTGGAAATTATGAACTTTGATAAATGTTGACAGTTGGGGGGGGGGGAGTTCAGTCCTTTTGTTCACAGGGTCGCTGAGTCGTGCTTGACTCAAAGGCAATCAACAACAATAGGACAAAGGAAAGAAAATTTAATCCAGGAAACCAACAGGACAGAGGCTGATAATGCCACCTACTAACAGCAAACTCATGGGCAATGAATTCCTGGGGCTCCACCTTCCTCATCTATAATATAAGGAAAAATGATCACATGTATTTTAGATTTGCTGAGAGGCTTACATGCATCAGCATATATAAAACACCCATTCTATCCACCTAGCATAACTTTCTTTGAGTTAAGTTCTCAAGTACTTTCATCCCTTCATACTCAAAGAGCCAGTAAAGGACACTATTTCTTCTGTGAAGCCTTCCTAGACTCCCTGGTGGAAGTTTTTTAATTCTCCTTTCATAATACATTATATATACTACGAGGTGTGTCATTTCTATAACAGCATCAACATCTGCAGAGTAAAAACTATGTTACATCTTATTTATGCTTTCCTTCTCAACATCTAATACAATGTATTGCATTGTAAACATATAAAATTAAGCAATGTGTGGGTAGATGAATAAAAGAATAAATAAACTAATATTATTATGATAAAAGAAAAAATTGTTCTACGATATAGCTATCTTACTCAAAATGTAAACTCAGTACCATCAAGTAAGAACTGACTCATATGTGACCCTTAGCAATCATATCATGGGAGAATGTCCATTTTCTCCCTTGGAGCAGCTGGTGGATTTGACTCACCTAGAACTGAGTTGACACTGCAACTCATTATTGATCCACTAGACATGATTAATGAAAATCACAATTAAATAAGTGAACTAGAAAAACAAATGTAAAAGAAGTTAAAAATTAAATTAACACCTGGAGAAAAGCTAAATCAAAATGTGTAATACATGTTGATGTTGTTGTTGTTGTTGTTCTTCGGTGCTGTCAAGTTGAGTAAGACTCTAACGACTCTGAATAACAGATCTCTGTCCTATTCTGCGCCATCCTCATCATCTCTGACATACTTGATCCCACTGCTGCAATTTCTGTGTAATTCATCCCATTTGGGGGGGGGGGCATCTTCCTCATTTTTGCAGGCCCTCTATCTTTACAAATATTATGTCCTTTTTGAAGGAATCATCTCTCCTAACAATACGCCCAAAGTATATGAGACAAAGCTTTGCCATCCTTGCTTCCAAGGAGCTCTGTCTGTACTTTTTCCAAGACAAATCTATTTGTTCTTTTGGCAGTCCATGGGACAGTCAGTGCTTTTCTCACAAAGAACCACTAAAGGCATTAATTATTATTCTGTCATACTTCTTCATTGTCCAGGTCTCAGACGCGCTGAATCAAGCACACATTAGTCTTCAAACTGACATCAATGCACCTCAATAATCTAGAGAGTTCCCTGACACTGTATTTGCCCAGTCCAATATATCTTCTGATCTTCTAACTGCTGTTATTATGGGTACTGATTGTTAATCCAAGTAAGATGAAATCATTGATAATTTCAATCTTTTCTCTATTACGATGTTGTTTATTGGTTTATTGGTGAGGAATTTTGTTTGCTTGATGTTGAGATTCAATCTTTATTGAAGGTTATAGTTTTTGATCTTCTGCATAAAGCACTTCATGACCTCCTCACTTTCAGCATGCAGGGCTGTGTAATCTACATAATGAAGAGTACTGGTGACCAATACAAGTAGCACACATGAAACCAAGAGTAAACGTAGTGAATAAAAACCTGTCTATCTCAAAATAGGAAATGTGAGTTTTCTAATGTAAAAATATATTTCTGTATTGCTTTCCTGAAAAGAGGCTCTTATAAAATTTAAATGTCTTTTGAGAATTCCTTATCTTCTACTCTTTTATCATTAAAACTAACCTTTTCAACACATACAGCACAAACCAGTTAAACAAGAGAGCGGGAAATGGTTATCTGGCCATAAAAGAGACATGTGTAATGCTGTAAAAGTCTACAAAAATATTGCTGAGACCTGGAAAAAAAGAAAAAAGGATCTGGAAAAGAGGAGAATCCTTAATGAAATGAGTTTGCTGTTAAAAAGCACAAGAAATGATGGAAGTAAATTGGCCTAATTTAAATCAAATGCAATTAAAAACAAAAGATGGGTTTCATGCAAATAAGCCAATTTAACTTTGCAAAAAATCACTCAAACTGAAATGGGGGTAATTTGAGTTCAAACTGATGATTCAAAATGTATCTAAAGAAAAATTACTTAAACTTCACCCAACCTAGCCTCTTCTAAAAGAAATACTACTACACCAACTAACCATAGCCTTTAACTACAACACTGATTATATAAATAAAATAGTGATGGTGTTCTTAGAACATCAGAAAGATCTGGCCTCTTAATTGTTCACTAAAATTGTTCGCCTATTAAGGGCACAGCAAAAGATGCTTCAATACTGATGATGAAAAGATAAATAGAATAATCGTGAAATTGACAAAACAGGGACCTTTATATTAATAAAGTTTTGCAGAATTATAAGTTATTTAATTAGTGGGCAATTTCTAATTCAAAACTTCAAGGTCCTACTCTTAAGTTCTAGTAAATATTTCATTAATTGTCCATAATAATTCACATTGAAAAGCAGTAACATTAGAGACAGAGGTTGATTTTCTTTTCCAACAAGAACAAAGTATCAAGCAATAAACAGTACAAAAGATTATCCTTTTGGGGGCAAAAAAATTATGTTAATTAGCTAATCAACAAACTTACCACCTAAACAAGTACACAGCTTTCCAGAATTGTGTCCAAGCCACAAGAAGAAAAAGAGTCAAATAAAGTCCCCAAGTTACAACACTTAAAACAAGGGGTGTGTAGCCCATACAAAGTTATGCTGCTAACCCAAAGGTGGGGTCTCTCGCGTGGTACAAATCGACCACCCACTCCGTGGAAGAAGGACAAGCTCCTTTGGTGAGATTTACAGTCTCAGAAACTCACTGCACAATCAGCTAGCTATAGGTTGTTCTAAAAGGACAGCAATGAGTAAGTGAGTGAATTTAGAACTAAAAGCAAAAATGCACTACAATTCTAACTGTAAATAGCAAATTAGTCTAAAAACTATAAAAAAAATCACACATAAAGTCAAGTACTCACATTGTAAAATGAAGGTAGGGTTTATGTACAGCAGCAGCCGATGACTGTTTCTTTGGTGATCCTGAGTGACAACTGGTTTCAAAAATTGATAAAGCATTCTCATCTTCACTATCATCTAAAAGTAGAGCTTCTAAATCTGTTGATAAAAAAAAAACCCCAAAACAAAAAAACCCATGGGTTATGAGGCTTATAAATTTCTCTTCTAAAACTAACTGCACCCTAAAAAATTAAACTTAATAAACTAACAAACACCTATTTACTAAGCAAACTGATAAAACTACAATATTTTTTATACTTTCAAGGGAAATCACTGTGAGTTCTTTCACCTTCACAGTTATTAATTATTATAAGATATAATTTCTAAGTCATCATTTGCTAACTGCGACAAGTTCTAGTAAAGAAATGGCATCATTAACATTTTTACACATCTACTTATTACAATTCTTGAGATAATTTTACAGTCCACATTACAAAAGGTACTCTATTTACTTAATAGGGTAGTTGAGTCATGATCAATTCTGAAAAAGTAAAAACAGGAAACAAATTGACAATTTTCAAATGATAAACACATACAAACTTTTTCAAGGAAAAACTAGTCCAATTAGATGGAGTCAGGAATTCACTCAAAATAAAGACAAGGTTAATAAAGCATTCATTCAAATAGTATTCTGCAATAAATGAGTTTTAAGTCTCACTGGACTTCTGGGTTTAAGTCCATAATGAACTTAATCCTAGTGTCCTAGTTGAACTGCCAAACCAAAGGCAGGCAGTTGAAATCTCCCAGCTGCTCTACAGGAGGAAGAAGCACAGTGCTCCCTCACGCAATTTACAGCCTATGAAAACCTAGTGAAGCGTCAGCAAGGAGTTGGTTCCAACTAGAAAGGGTTTTTGTTTGACTATATGGAAATAAAATCCTTATGAAGAGTATATAATAAGTAAAAATGTTCCTGGACTACATCTTTACGTATTAACAGTTGTAGTACATGTACAAATCACAAATGTCTATGCATTCAAATGAAACAGAATACTACATGTGTAGTACATTCAGGAGAGCATTGAGATGGACAAAAATACTACTATCTTTCTAAAATCATGGGGGGAGGGGAATGGAGGAATGTTTTCTACAGTAGAATAATGAAATTGTGCCACAAATATAGCTATGAGTGTCTGATATAAATAATGATGGTTTTACCATCAGTGAATTCTAACAGGTGAATTCAGAGAAGAACTGATAATAATTTCCTCAAACTAAGAACACAAAAAGATTAAATATTCTCAAAATCATTTTATGAAGCATGCATAGTTCTAATACCAAATCCAGGCAAAGATACCACTGAAAAATAATATTAGAGACCAATATTCCACTCCAAAGTACTGAAGAGCAACGATGTCACTCGAAACTAAAGTGCACGGGACACAGGCCATTGTCTTTGCAATTACTTGCTATGCATCAGAAAGCTGGACAATGATTAGAGATGATCGAAAGAAAATTGATGCCTTTGAGCTATGGTTCTGGAGAAGACTGCTGAATATACCAGGGACTGCTAAGAGAATAAACAAGTACATCCTGGAGAGGGTGAAACCAGGCTGCTCCTTGGAGGCAAGGATTCTGGAGCTTCATCTGACATACTTAGGACATGCTGCAAGGTTGGATCAGTCCTTGGAGAGGATGTCGTGCTTTGGAGCACAAGAGAGGAAGACCCTCAATGAGATGGACCGATTCAGTGACTGTGGTAATGGAGAGAGGTGTATCAGAGGTGATAAGATTGGCACAGGCTAGAGTAGTGCTGTTGTAGGATCGTTATGAGTCGCAGGTGTCTCAACAGAACATAACAACAACAATCCCTCATGAAACCGAGTGCAAATTTCTAATCAACAGAATTTAAACTCCAATATAATACTAAAAATATCATTATGAGAAATTCGTTTCATACTAGGTATGCAAGGAGTTTCAATGTATGAAAAACAATCCTCTCTGTAAATGTTCATTAAAATTAATAAAATTTAATAATAAAAAAAAGAAAAACAATCCATGTAATGCATTATTTAGAATTTAAAAAGGAAAAGAACCACATAATTATATAACAAATTGCTGAAAGTTCATTTGACAAAATCCTACAACCTTTCTGACGATCTAAAAAAAAAAATAGAATGACAGAAATGAAAAAGAAATTATTTGATAAAATTTGAAGTATATAAACAGACCCAAGAGCTAACATCACTGTCAGTGGAGAGAGACTTGAAGGCCTTCCTCTTGCAAAAGTGAACCAGACATGGATACCCTTTATCACCACTTGTATCCTAAGTTCTAGTCAAAGCAACAATACAAGAAAAGGATATAAAAGGCATCAGAATTGGCAGTGAGAAGGTAAAACTATATCTATTTACAGAGGATATGATCCTATGTAGAGAAAATACCAAAGACTCAGCAAGAAAATTACCAGATTTTTTTTTAAATACTAATTTTATTGGAAAAACCTGAGAAGGATGTATTAAATTAAAAATTACATTGTCTTAGATCAATTTCAAATGATTTTTTTTTTCATTCAAAAAATGTCCGAGCACTTACAAAGTGCCAGGTTTTAAAATACATGGTGAACAGGAGATACCTTATCCTCCCAGAGCGTACATGAAAGGAGGTGGTGATATCACAGAAATACTGTAAGGTGATGAGTTTGTGACAAAGGAACTGAACGGTACCTCATAAGAATATACAGTCGAACATCTAACTCAGTCTAGGGGAGCCAAAGAGGTTCTTAAATTCAGCAGATGGAGTGCTTGAATAGAAGGGTAAGTACTTATTCAGAAGAGGAGGAGAATGTAGAACCAGTCAAGTAAAGGGAGCCTGAGAGACCCCAAGAGAGAGGGTGGGGTAGGTTCAAGGAGCTGGAAAATGTCTGGACGAGATGAAGGACTAAGTGAAAAGACAGTCAAGGTGAGAATGCGGAGATGACAATCAAGATCCCAGAAGGCAGCAGGAAACCACGCAAAGAGTTTACAGAAGGGTGCAACATGACGTGTTACGTAGGAAAAATCTGTTGCCAGGTACCTCTCCAAAGTGCAAGTGTGTCAGTACAAATACCAAGGTGCACCTGATCCAGGACATGGGATTTTCAACTGCTCTGTACGCATCTGCACCTGACTGTTGGACAAGGAAGACCAAGGAAGAACTGATGTCTTTGAACTGCGGTGTTAAGAGAAGAGTACTGGCTACCCCAGGGTTAGAACAAACAAGTCTGTCTTGTAGGAAGAGCAACCGGGGTGCTTCTTACAGGCAAGGATGGTGAAACCTGTCTCCCACATCGGGCATGTTGTCAGGAGGGGCCAGGTGTTGGGAAAAGACACCATGCTGGGAAAGGTAGAATCACAGAGAGAGATCACCCTCGACAAGATTAACTGACACAGTGACTGTAACAATAGGCTCAAGAGTGGTGGAAGGAGTGGGGACAACACAGGCCAGGCAACATTCTACTCTGTTGTTCAAAGGGTCACTAGGAGATGTAGTTGACTCAACAACAACAGCATGACTGCATATATATGACTGCACGTACACCTTAGAACGGTGATTCTAACTGCAGCGTGGTAAACACACTGGGACAAGGAAGACTAGAGACAAGCACAATTTTCAGCAAAGTGTCACAACAGAAAATTAGCATACAAAATCCACTCCAATTTCTCTATCATAACAAAGAGAATGCTTGATAAAAAATAAGCAATGTATTTTACAATTGCCAACACAAAGTTACATAATTAATCTAACCACATATACAAAAGGCTGATACAAAAACAACTATAAAATACTATTGCTGTTGTTGTTGATGATGATTGCCTTCGAGTCAAACATGACTTATAGTGACCCTATGAACAAAAAAAAAGGCTTGAAGCCCCTCTACAACTAGGGATATTTATCAAAGTTCACAGAGTTTCTGGAGGCATGTTATTTAGAAAGTGGATGCCACTCCTCCTTCCAAACCTATTGTTGTTATGTGCCATTTAGTTGCCTGCAATGTATAGCGACCCTATGTACAGCAGCTCTCTTCTCTTTCCTAATCTAAGCCAGTCTCACTAATTCCAACAAATCAACCCCCACGGTCCCAGTTACTATAGCAATCCATTTCATCCCAGGTCTCCTTCTCCTGCGCTGTTCATCCACCCTTCTGAGCATGATGTCCTTCTCCAAAGACCAGTCTGTCCTGGCCAAGTGCCCAAAGTAAGTAAGGCAGACCTTCAAAATCCTAGCCTCCAAAACAACTAAGAGATATCATCTCACCCCAGTAAGAATTGCAAAATTTAACAGAACAGCAAACATCAAATGCTAGCGAGGTTGTGGAGAAACTGGAACACTTAGTCATTATTGGAGGGACTGTAAAATGGTGCAACCACTATGGAAGGCAGTATGGCACTTTCTCAATAAAATAGAAATACCATTTGACCCAGCAATTCCACTACTGCCACCAAAGCAGATATATGCACATCCATGTTTATTGCAGCTTTGTTCACAATAGCAAAGAGCTGGAAACAACCCAAGTGCCCATCAACAAACAAATCAATAGAGAAGCTCTGGCATACTCACACAATGGAAT